TAAACAGACACAACAATGCCAGACACAATAATGTCTAACGCAACAGTGGCTATAAACAAATACAACAATGCCAAAAGCAACAATGTCTATAAACATACAACAATGCCGAATACGTAACAATGTCAATAAACAGACAACTAAACTGTTTATTGACATTGTTGTGCTGCTCTCACGACAACACGTTACAATATATTTAAAATGCAACTCATAAGAACCTGTAAACTATCTTAAGAACAGTATTTTTGTCCCAGGGATAAACCATTAAATAGTAATTCCATCTGTGAAATGTAAAACAGCACATTGAGAATAACTGTGGGTCATTCAGATCGTACTTCAGGTCATTTTAATGGTTCAATTTCATTTGATAAATGTGAGACTGCAATCCATAGTTTGTTATCGTAAATCTTCCAAGTAGAAAGCAACTTGCTCAAATGAAGTTTTCTGATATTCTTTTGACATATTGTCTGGGTAATTGGACCTGCAGAGGGAGGGAGGTTAGTATGATACGCTGTGCATGTGCTCTGCTCAGTACTACCATGCAAAGTAAAATGTCTATGTTATGCACAGTATGAGTATTTTGTGTGCGTAGAATGCAGAATATTTTTTAAAAGTTGAATTTGTGCGTTGCCATCCCATTGCTTGGTCCAAGTCATAAAGTGTTTAGCAAGAATCACTGCTATGGAGTGCTGACTTAAAAAAAAATTTATGCAGACAATTAGAGCTAAGAGATGGGACATTTTATTTGTTTCTACTCTTTTAATAATGTTTTACCCAGATTCTTCTACCTTTCCTTTTACGCCGTGTGAAAGCTGATGTTGCTCTCAACATTCCACCAAAGAAGGAATTGCTTGTGTATGCCCCAATGTCACCTCTACAGCTGGATCTGTATCGAGCCACAGTGGAACACAACTACAGCAAACTATTGAGAAAAGCTGAGGAGGTAAGACTGTTTTTCCAAGATCCATTCTAATATCATACTTCCATCTGTGCCTTGATCTGAGTGATTTTCTGCTTTCAGACTTTCCAACCAAAATTTTGTACCAATTTCTTAATTCCCTTCCCATCCTTATAGGTTTGATCATCCTAATAATTGGTGTAGAGTACAAATTGTGGAGTTCATTGTGCAACTTTCTCTGGCCTCCCATCACTTCATTCTCCGCAGCACCCTGTTTTCAAACACCCTCAGTTTTTGTTCTTCCCTTAATGCGAGAGACCGAACTTCTTTTGTACAATATTTCGTAACACTCGGATTTCCTTGTCAGTTGTCCACAACTGCTCATTCAGTATATTAATTGCCCTCCACACCTGGAGGCCTTCTGCGCCATCTGCAGCCTGAGGGCACACCATGATGTTGTGACTAGGGACCCACACGAATGGAATTCTCAAATGTTATTTAAACAGACTTTCTCTTCACAGGGTTAAATATTGTTGTTTGCTGTCATATTTTGTTTTGTATCTGAGCCAGCAGCTGTCATGTCTTTGTCACACATAAGGAACACTAAATGGCAAATTCACTTTTATCAAGATGACTGCAGATGCGGGGTCCTCTGAAGAATGAACAGCGTTTTAACTCGTTAACTGTACAACAGGCAGGGCCAGGGATCATTAAATTGCATTACTGTTTTAATTCCATACACTGTGTCTCAAATCAGTTGTTGTGACACCTCGGGGAATAGTTGTTGTATAGGGATTTAAGTCGGCTATGAGAATGGTTAAGGCAATGTATTAGATTTTGTTGTTTTATTTTAGAGTCTTATTATTCCTGACCAGCCAGATGGTAAACGTGCAAAGCGCAAGATCCACAGTCGAAAACATCACTCCATTGATCTTGTGGAAAGTAATGATGAATTTGATGGACAGTCAAATGTAAGGTAAGCCTGAAGATATTGACTTGCATGTACAAAGATTTTTGGGGTGGTCAAGGCCTGTAATAGGCTCTATAACCCGTGATGATGATGATGATGTACAAAGATTTTGTGTAGGCCTTGTGTACTTTTAGTTCTTAATAACATTGAACTTTTATGTTAAAAGAAGCCGCAAGTCTATTATTGGAGTAAAAATGTCTTCAGTCATATATTATTGTGAGTTTCCATAAATTTTCAGATGTTCGTTAAATGTTATGGATATGTATTTTGTGTTTCAAGTATTTAAACGTATAAGATCTAGGTCAGGGGTGGCCAACCCGCGGGCCGCATGTGGCCCGCCTTGAACATTTTTCCGGCCCGCGAGATTCATCACACTTTTACAAAATATATTTATTTTATAATGGCCAAAGTAGTGAAAACCAATGTATTAAAAAAATACATTATTTGTGCATCCATATATTCAAAAATTATCATTATGTTTCAATTTTTCACTCCAAAAAAATGTCTATAGTGTATCTAAATCTAATATGGGGATATATAATTTTATATGTGGCCCGCGGAGTTATGATGCATTTCCAAAGTGGCCCGAAAGATCATTTGGGTTGGCCACCCCTGATCTAGGTGATGATCTTTCAGATTGTTGCACCACATAGAAGTTGAGCTGTGTGCCAGTGTTTCAGAGGAACATACAGCCTCAATCATCAGGGACACACAGTCCAAATTCTATATAGCTCAGCAACAAAGATCATCATCTACATTCATATCACCATGAAAACTTCAAATCTCATTTTTCAGTGCGGATTTTAATATTGAAGTAGAAGATAAAGAAGATAAGGATTATAAAATCATGTTAAAGATGATACAGCCGATGATGCAGCTGCGTAAGATTGTCAATCATCCATATTTGGTGCACTTTCCACTTGTGCCAGGAAAGAATGAGCTCAGGGTAGATGAGGAATTGGTGAACAAGTCAGGAAAACTTCTGGTTCTCGATGCTATGCTGGTAAAACTCAAGCAGAGAGGTCATAAGGTAAGTTGACTTTGTCTCTTAGTAAGTAACAGATGTCATTATGTCCTCACCCCCAGGGAATGTCACTGAACATCTACAGCACATGGTTCAAGGCCACCCAAGTAATATGGGCTCCTGCCTACAGCCTGGTAAAATATCTGTTGGGCATGCTGAGTTCGTCTGCACACTCTGGGTCAGACTTGGGGACATCCTAGTATTTTGATAGAGACAGCATGAAACTTTTCTAGTGTCCTGACCTCCTTGTATTTCTGTTTCAATGGATTGTTCTATGAACAGACCGATAGAATGGACATGTGTTTGCTTTTGTCATAGAGAACTTCAAAGAATATGCACTCAGCAGGGCAACCTACAAACCTCTCTTCTAGTTCAGACATGTTAATGACACCTTTGTGATCTTGTGTAATGGACCGGAGAAATTGGATGACTTTGTCATGCACCTCAGCTGCTTCCACCACAATATCCAATTCTCCACATACACAGAGAGAGTGGTCAGCCTTCCCATCTTTGTTATTGATGTACGCAGGAGACTCACTTGCCCCCTTAGGATGTAGATAGCTTATACAAGAAATCCACCCATACAAACCTCCATCTGAATGCCAGATTTCAGTGCCATCTGGCAAACAAACTGTAATTTCCACCCTAGTTCAGAGAGCCAAAGCCATCTGTGAATCTGACAGTCTCCATTAGGAATTTGAATTTCTATTAAATGCATTTGAAAATAATGGCTGCAGCAATCAACAGATTCTCTGGACTCTCATCCCACCTGAGACAGTTCCTCTACCACATAGAGAGGATAAAACTTCATTGGACAAATTGGACGTTCAGTGGAGACCAGAGTCGAAGAGCACCACCGGCACATCTGTCTCTACCATCCCTGTGAGCTGTAGCAGAACACAGCGTAAATGTAGACCATCACATCCAGCTGCAGAAAACCGGTATTCTGGCTGAAAAATCTAGACACATTGGTCAGATTGTTAGGGAAGCAACAGAATCAAGCTTCATTCCAACAATATGAACAGGGAAGATGGCTTCTCCTTGAACAAGTCACTGAAGCCTCTCAGTTGCACCCTGAAGGAATAAAAGTAGGCTGTCGCCAAGGACATGTGCACACTTCCATTTAGCCCTCCTCTGCTTGTTCTCCTGAAAGGGCCTTGCATGATAGATTCCCCCTGAGCCATTCTGATAAGACTGTGCTTTCAGGGGCACTGTTATCCCCGCTGCACCATTCGCATTGGCTGCTGTTTACTCTTACTATTCTTCCCATTATCCCCCTTTCCTGTTGGCTGCACAGTCTGTTTGTCCTTCTGTGTCTCCATTCTCCACCAGCGTTAACCTTATCCCCCATCTGCTTCTGAATCGTGCCCACTGGAGTGGTACCATATGGACTGTCTTCAAGATGATGATGATAAGCTGACATTCTCTTGCTCATCTTTTTATTTCCTTACCTGGTCTGATTCACTTCTTAAAGCCTTTCCACAAGTAAATAATTGGCCAGATTATATATGTAGTTATCTGTAGTTTAACTTCCAATTACTTTGCAGGTGCTGTTGTTCTCTACATTCACATCTCTGCTTGACTTGTTGGAGGACTACTTACTGATGAGGGATTATAAGTATGTCCGTTTGGACGGGTCTACCAAGGTCGAGGACCGACAGATACGGATCAAGGCATTCAACACTGATACACGCCTCTTCATATTTCTCATCTCAACTCGTGCAGGTGGTCTGGGAATCAATCTTACTTCTGCTGACACTGTCATTATCTATGACAGTGATTGGGTATGTACCTGACTACCTTAGCCATTGCAGAGTTCAAGATTGTAATCACGAACCCTTAAATATCCGAGTTCCGTTCAGATGTCGGACTGAGTCCGCCACGTATTTTACGAATTTTTTACGTTATCTGGAGTCAAACTGAGGCTGGCAAACAGTGTCAGCATATCATTCAAGCCTTCTTCCTTGCAATGTTTCTATCCTAGTTTTCCTCGTAAGACTTTGTGTACCTTATAATAGTGAAAGGAGGCAGGAGAGAAATGTCATCTTATTCTGACACGTGTCGAAGGAAGCCAGGATTCCACACCAAGTGTTTTGCCATACATCATATTTACTTAGAATAAAAGTATTTTATATCTGATAAAGTTATTAAAAAAATACCATCTTCCTAATAGGAAATTATATTTTTTGAATTATTTTTGGCGCGTAGAGCAATCTACCACTGACATGTGCATGTTCTTTTGTCTTTGTATCAAGCATTCCTTATGTGTAGTGACTTCATTGTTTACACTTCGCGTTCTGTTTCACTTTTCTGGCGTTGATCTTGGTCTTGAACTTTCGAACACAGTCAAAGCAAAAGGAAGCACAGCTCTGAGAATATGAAATCCAGTGCTTATACATCGTATATCTGCATGCAGTAAGAGATATTTAGACGTCGACAAAGTCATATCTATCGACTTGGTCTTGCATTGTTCTCTTCCGAATGACAGCATGCAGAAAAACACCATTTACTACACCACATCTCACTACCGACAATGGTACAGTCCGTGAAAAATATTTCACACAGTCAGTATTTAAACAGCAAGAACTGTGATCCTTTCGGAACATATTTTCACCATATTCAGCAAAGTTTCTTCTGATTTATGCAAGTTATAATAGAAAATCAAACCAGTTCATAACAGCAGTTGAATTTATACAGCTTAGTGGTATTTAAATAGACCAGCAGAGAGCAGTAGTGGTATTTAAAAGGGACCGCAAAGGGCTAGAAGACATTGCACATCAAGGAACTTGCGTTCTTCGGTTGTGTGAACAATTTTCCACGGATGCAAACACAAAGAAAAGTGAGAAACAGAAGATGAAAGAGTCAGACTGAAAATTTACTACCCTGTTTTTGTAGGTGTATTCCAAACATGAAATAAATACTTTTATCATATTTTCAGAAAAAAATAATGAAAGGGGTTACGTCTGCCCCTGCAAAAGGAGATAATTTTATGTCTGAAATATCATACAGTCCAGTGAATACAGTAAATTATTGGCCCCTTAATCTGTAAGTGCTGTTTTGTCCAAACTTTTCCTGCTAATGCGGCAGTCGATAATGGACAAAGGACACTTGATGGGGGCAAGTTCAACAAGAAACACTTTGTTGACTTAGAATGAGCCATTGTAAAGAGGTGAAAGAAAAGTTTGTGTTTGTGAAATTTGTAAAAATTATATCAGAATGAGTAATAAAAATACTTTTCACATTATTCACTGCAGCTGAGGAGGAGGGGGGGGTCATTTTATAGTCAGATATAAATGTAGTACATTTCTGGGCCTTTACTCTGTAAATGCTCCTGTCCCAGCTTAGCAGCACTTTGAAGTGTACTGCCAACCTAGATTCTTGTATCCTGTGGTCTAATATGCAACATTTACAGAACCCACAAGTGGATTTGCAAGCCCAGGATCGTTGTCATCGCATTGGTCAGACTCGCCCTGTTGTGGTGTATCGATTTGTAACGGCTGCAACTATCGATGAGCAGATTGTGGAGCGAGCTGCTGTGAAGAGGAAATTAGAGAAGATGGTGATCCATAAAGGTATAGATTACTCCTTGTGTGTGTGTGCGCGTGTGTGTGCATGCACACGCATGCTTTCTACCACTTCATAACATGTTCGTAAGACGAGTCACGTTGAAATCATTTTGTTTGTTTGTAATCCTAACCATTAATATCAATTAACTGGATTTTCCAAATAATCCACATTTTAACACTTCAGAACATCTCCAAAAAGAATGTTTCTCATATTACATTCTTGCATGTTCCTAGTGCCCGCTTCTAGTAAAATATCTAAGTAACTCATGGTGCATTGTCTTTCTTGAGAAGCTGATGGCCAAGTAAACTGTTGAGAAATTACTTTCTTTTTATGAAACCTGAAGATTCATTACTGTGTCCACATCAGCCCGTCCCGAGGCAGTTGAGTCCCTTCATACCATGCGCCTCTAAGATCCACTTTAATCCTATCCTCTCACCTGAGCCTTGGTGTCTGAATAGTGTATGTCCATTAAAGTGTCTGTCTAAATTTTTGTTTGTACTTCTCATGAGCTTCATCAAACTTGATATTATTATGTAAATTTTAATTTGGTGAAAAGTACAGATTATTTTAGAACATCCCCTGTCTTAGGTCCAAGCATTTTGCTTAGCTGTTTTTTCTCATACACTCTCAATGTGCGGTCTTCATAGTGACCTGTTGGATCGGTTTTCTCTTTTTCATTTTACGTGTAAAGATTTATGCCCTTATTCTTTCTTGACAGGCTTATTTAAGCTTGACAAAAAAGGACAGCAAGACGTAATCAATCTTCGAGAACTGCTAGACCTTCTTAATTCTCGTGACCACCAAAAAGTGATACATTCTAATGGTTATGGTAAGTAGAGCATTTGAGAACTCCCATATGAGGTATTTCTACCTTACTGTTTTTCTTTTTATTTTGCAAATATTTATACATTTTATAAACCCTGTTGTTTGTAGGTATTTGGTCTGTCAAGATTAACATCTAAAGTATGGAATTTATGTTTTCCCTTTTTTGAATGCAGAAACGTCCTGTCACAAATACTACTAGTACATGACAGCCGCATGGTGAAGCAAAATTTAATTTGCCTTCCACAGATAAACCAAGCTGAAATTCAGCATAATTTAGTTTGCCTTTCACAGATAAACCAAGCTGAAATTCAGCAATCACCCCACAAAATGGAAATAATCAATCTGAGATTAAAAATATCTGTGGTTTGTCAGTCAGCAAGTTACTGTCTGGATGGCCAGAGTTAAATTCCAAGGATGGAGAATATTCTCTTTGCCACATCTGGACCAAACTTGGGACATGCCCAACCTCACTGTCTCTCTCTGTTTACAGTATTTACCGACGAGGAGTTAGATGCATTGCTGGATCGCAGTGATATGCTGTCTGCATCACCTGAATCATCAGACACTGGAACCCAGATGAAGATAAAAGGTGCCAACATTTACAAGGTTGTTGACCAGCAGTGCAGAGATCCAGAACTTAAATAGTTGAGGTGAAGGTGTGTCAGTGCCTTAAAAACATAATTTTAACAGGAAGGAGGTTGCTGCATGTCATCAGAAGGCTTATCAAAGGAAAATAAAGCATTCTGAAGCTTATTTTCTAGCTGTCATATTCATATAAAATGTATAGCTCTTCAAGATGTTTGAAACAGTGAGTTCCAGCTGTACAGGAATGCAGTGTCTGTATTCAGAGAAAGGTCGTAAACTCGCGGCAGTCCACTTCATTATGTATGTATATTTTCCTTTGGTCATTCTTCCAGAAACTGTTCATAAGTGTTATTTTTATGGCACAGTTAGTCAAGTGATCGTATTATAAATATTATAACTTTTCATAGTGTAATCCATTTGTGGCTGTAATTGGCTGGCTTCTCTTTGTTGACAGTTACATTTGAATTGTGTTACAACATTAAATTTTAATTAGGATTTGTGCCAAATAATTTTGGTCTAATAAAATGTAGTTCTTGTTTTAACCATGTTCTGTATATTTCATTTCCAGAAATAAAATTGAAAACAAATTTATTGTGAGTTTTTATAAAATAATTTTATAACAGTCACATACATCTTAATCCTCTTTGCAGTCGCACTGCTTTTCAGTTCATTTGGTCTAATGGTCCACAAATTCAGTGTCAAATCAACAGAGGTCACAACCCCAACCCCCTGATAGTTTGTGAAGTTGTAGTCCCAATGGAGATGAGCGTTCCAGCTAAATTTCTCTGCTTTATGGTTACTATTTCTTTTTGCTGGGTTGAATAAGAAACCATACTACCAGAACAAAAACAAGGTAGCTCAAATAACAGAGTAACTGAATATACAGGTAAGTCAAAAGTAGCTGCACACCTTTGGAGAACTGTAACCATGTTACCTGCAGCCAAAATGTGCTGATATCAAGTTTCATTTGTTTGTTGTAGTTCTTCACATTGCCGCTGAGAGCGCTTGTGAATTGTGGAAAACAAAATGGAGACTTATAGTGGAAACTACTATTGAGAAGTTGAAAAAGTATAAATCCCTGGGTACTGATCAGATTCTGACTAGATCTACAACTGATCAAATTTTCTATATTTGCCAGATACTAGAGAAAAAGTGGGAATACAATGGGACAACCCACAAACTATTTATAGGCTTCACGAAAGTGTATGACTCAGTTCAAAGAGAAGCTCTTTACAATATTTTGCTTGAACTTGGTGTACCTAAGAAGCTAGTCAGGCTGATTAAAACATATTTAAGAGAAACCTCTAGTGTAGGTAAACATTTGTCTGATACAGTTCCTATTCAGAATAGCCTGAAGCAGGGAGATGCTCTATCGCCGCTGCTTTTCAATTTTTCCTTTGAATATGCAACCAGGAAAGTCCAAGAAAATCAGGGCAGTTTGGAACCAAATAGGACTTATCAGCTTCTGGTCTGTGCTGATGGGCGATTTTATAAATACTATAAAAGCAAACATAGAAACACTCTTAAGGGCTATTAGGGATGTTGGTCTAGAAATAATTTCAGAAAAGACTAAGTACATGATAATGTCTCAGCATCAGAATTCAGGACAGAAGGATAGCTAATGAATCATTTGAAAATGTGACAAAATTCAAGTACTTGGGGATGACACTGAAAAGTCATAATGACATTCAAGAGCAGATTGAATTCAATCCAAAATCTTCTGTCTTCCCAACTCATATAAAAAAGCTAAAGATTAAAATATACAAAAGTGTAATTTTGCTAGTTGTGCTGTATGGGTGCAAAACTTGGTCTCTCACTTTGACAGAGGAACATTGATTGTCTTTGAGAATGGTGTTGAGGATATTTGGACCTAAAAGGAAGGAAGCTGGATCATGGAGAAAACTGCATAATAATGAGCTTCACTGAATGTACTCCTCACCTAATATTATTAGGGCGATTAAATCAAAGAGGATGAGGAGGGCAGGACTTGCGGCACGCATGGGGGAAGGAAAGGGGTGTTTGCAAGAGTCCACTGGGAAGACCTGGGAGAAGGTGCGAGGAAAACGGAAAGATGGACCTTCGGGAGATAGGAACCGATGGAGCAAACTGAATGCAGCAGACAGTCTGTGGTAGCAGGCTTTTGTTGACACGGTGATGAACCTTTGAGTTCCATAGATTAAAGTGGACTATTCTTTGACAAGCAGAGTATACAAAAGATTTTCCAAAGAAAGTCCTGCACCGTAGCATGAGGGAGTTTGGAATTTAAGTTATTCAATAATCTCCCCTCCCCCACTTTAGAAAGTATATGATATAAAGAAGTTTACCCGAGCACTAGAATAAAATCTCATACCTCACAACTTCTACCCCATAAAATAATTTACCTCAATCAAAAATGCTAGTGGGTGTACTTTCTTGTGTAATTATTTTTTCGGTAATACTGTAATTGAATGTAAATTAATATCGTAAGTATGTAAATTATATTTGTATTACAAACACGTATTGTATTTGTGCTATAACATGTTCTACATCCTTGGCTTAGGCCTATGAAGGATCTGTAAAATGTAAATAAGTTATTCTCGAATTTACTTTATCAAAGATTGATGCCAACATGCTAAACTATATCAAGTCACGTTCAAGTTTCGCATATGTTCAGTTATGTAATCCGCATTCGTGGTCGTGTTATAACCCGTGAACGTATTTCGCTTACCTAATCTATAATCCGTGCCCTGGTGCACGGCATGCTTGATAATAAATGCATGGTTAATGTTAACAGATAAATAGCTGAATCTATTAACTAACTTACTTCACATTTCATTGTTTCATCACTTGTATATTATTTTAAGTGAACTGTACAATTATCCTGAAGAATAATCTTAGACCAAAGGTAACAGAAAGAAGATGATTCTAGAAATGCCTTCATAATACAGAAAGAACAAAACCGGCATAGCGCGAGCGCGATCTAGGAAGGTGTATGTTCCAGACGTTTCTTGAAGGTGGAAGTGTTTGGAGAAAAGCACAGTGAAGTAGGCAGCGATAGGAATCATGGAAAAGGTAAGTAGGTTTTTAAATAAGTTATGTATATTGATTAGGAATATTTCGTAGTCGGATTTTTAATGTAGTTGGAAGAAACCTTTCATACTTAGAAAGCTTGTACTACAAAGCATGGGCAACTTTTAAAATGCGCACAGTAAGTATTGCCTACCCCCGCCCGTTGTAATTTACAAGTCATTCGAAAATTAAAAAGTCTCCGACATTTGTTTAATTGTGAACAGGTGACGGTGTTAAAGGACAAGGGAAATGCTGCTCTTCAGGCTGGTAAATTTTCTGATGCTATAAAGTATTATACAGAAGCCATAACATTAGACGACAACAATCATGTTCTGTACAGTAACAGGTCTGCAGCGTATGCTAAAGCTAGTAAATACCATCAAGCGCTTGAAGATGCAGAAAAGACTGTTCAGCTGAAACCTGACTGGGGAAAGGTTAGTGTGTTGAGTATTGTTCATTATCAGAAATACATGTTGTGCAACAAAGTGAATTAAATATTTATTTTTTTAAGTTCTCATTTTCAGGGATACTCTAGGAAAGGTAGTGCCTTGGCTTACCTTGGTAGAATTGATGAATCGATCAAGGCATATGAAGAAGGCCTTGTTCATGAGCCTGAAAATCAACAACTGAAAGAAGCATTGCAGGGCGTCAGAGCTCAGAAATTTGGAAATAAGGGATTCGCCAATCCTTTCTCAACGCCTGATCTGTTTGGCAAACTTAGATCTGATCCACGTACTCGAGCATATTTGGACGATCCAGAATATGTTAAATTAGTTCAAGATCTTCAGAGAAACCCAAACAGTTTAGGGTAAGATTACTTTCGTTCATATATGTTTTTGTTAAAAGTGCTTCATGCACTTGCGGTTACGACTGCCAAAAGTGTGTGGCTCTTTCATCTTGAGGATGCCACTCTGTTGTATTTTGCTATTGAAGTAGCTTATAGAGTGAGTGAAGTAGTTGTGATATTTGTGCCATATAAAAGTGGTGTATTAAAATGTCTCTGGCTATGTGTGTTCATGTAGCAACTCGGGAACCACTGATTGGATTTTCATGAAATATGATACTGTGGCATGTACTGAAATTTGAGCATGTTTCCATTATTCGTTAAAACCAAACAACAGTAATAGACACTTTTATGAAAGCCTATGTGTATTTCTGCATAAGTTGCTAAGCATTTGTCAGAACAAAGGTTTTACTATTTTTGAGGTTTAAAGAAACAAAAGCTGAAACAGTTCAGAATTGTTTTGGCATGCATAAAATGTAGAGCTGGTTTCATGTTATGGAAGGTAGTATTGAAATTATAAAAATAACTGGTGCTCTGTGATTTAAGAGCCCCTAGGGTTGAAAGTGAAGAAGCCATGTTTTGCATAATGTTGCACTTGCAGTAAACCTTGTGCTATGTTTCTGATCCTCAGCTCATAGCATAACATCTTATAGCAAATTCGCATATAGTAGTGTCAATAATACCATTGAAAATGTGTAATACATGGCACTTATTTAATTAAATTATATAAATATAAAAGCAAACCATAAATTTTATGCATCACAACCAAATAAAATTATACAAAAAACTAATAATCTCATCTCTTGTGCAATTTGATGTTGTCCAAAATATTATTGTATTTGTATATATTATGATTTTTAAATAATCTGTTATAACTTAAGGTAGTAAACTTTTTCTGGATACATTCAAGTTTGCTGGAGTCAGTGGTGATAAGAGAATTCCAGGCAACAGAAGATTATTTAAATGTCTGTCTAATTAGGCCGCTGTGAATCATTATTGGGCTGTCTAATGATAAAAGTAAAATGTCTGTATTACGCACAACAGCTAGGCGTAGATGTATCTGGATATTATTTACTTTGTGAAGGAACCTACATGCAGCTAATGTGCCACTTTTTATGAATGTGAGGATGGTCTTGATTTAATCTCCAGTCCTCCTCATCTTACATTACAGAATCGTCCATCTTGTTTGAAGCAGAATTGTCCCTTCATTTAGTACAGGATTGTTTAACGGTAAAAAAATCATCAGTGACTGCTTTCTGCTTCATATGTAGTAATACTCTGCTTGCAGGCATCGTTTGAATGATACAAAGGTTTTAACTACTCTAAGTGTGTTGCTTGGGATTAATTTGGAGGCAACAGGAGATGAGGATATGGATACAGCTCCTCCACCAACAAGAAAAGTGCCTAGACCAAGATCAGAGACGCAGAAACCCCAAGCTAAGGTGGAGAAAATGGATGAAGATATCAGTCCAGAGAAGCAAGAGGTTGGTTGGATGATGTCAGTGTGCAGAATGTTGCCATTCTTTGAATTTGTACTGTTGAACAAACAGGTTATGTGTTGGAAAATTTTAATTTTCTTTTAATGTGTCTGGTGCCCCATTTATTTTTCCACCTTTTTTTGTTTGCTTGTGAGTTATGCAGTTCCCCCTCTTTTGGAATATTGAATATTAATTAGTTCTTTGATTTAAGTGTTTCAAAACAAAAACACCTCTAAGTATGTTTTTTACAAATAAAATTATTTGTGTAATCAGATCCTGACATGAAATTATTAAATCATAATACATTGAACAACAAATCACAGAAAAATAAAATAAATGCCTGCACGCCTCTCACTTCCCGCCTTGCCAACGTAGCAATTAAAATGCAAGTGATAATGTTAATGATAGTCATTAACAAAAAGTTACTGGACCGCACATGCTTTGCGGACAAACAATTAGCTAACTAATTAGATAGCTTAGAGAAACCGAAGATTGTTCACTGAATGAATATTTGTGCAGTTACAACTTACACATTATTGACATTTGTTTTTTCAAATTAGGCAGAGATGTTGGTTTCTTTGTTTAATAGACAAGTGGCATAAATAATTGTACATTAAAGCCACGAGTACAAGGAGATTACATGATGGTGCTCATTTGTGGAGCAAAAGACTGGGTTGCACTCTTCTGCTCCACCAATCAGCATCATTATACAGCTCGCCACTTGCTGCCTGCCTTGTGTAAGGCTTCCAAAAATGCCCAACCACTAGAAGTTTATTTCAACCCTTATTTAAAAAGCAGACAAAAGTGCGCCATCAACTTACGGCTTTCCGCCATAATTGCAGCGTGAATTATCACAAGGCACTGTTTCAACAACTGGAAGTCTATGCAGTACGAAAGTAGGCTTTGTGAGTCATATCTTAACTTCTTGCATGATTTGTTAGTTTTGGTAGGCTTCAACTTACGTGTTATTTGAGTAAATGTGGCTGTTAAGAAATCTTATCTTTGTAATTATAGGCACTGAAAGAGAAGGACCTAGGAAACCAAGTATATAAAAAGAAAAACTTTGAAGAAGCCTTAAAGCATTATAATAGGGCAGTAGAACTGGATGCTGGTGATATAACATATTTAAATAACATAGCAGGTAAGTGCAATTGTGTTCTTGAGAGTCGAGCTTCTGGCGCCTAATAGGGGAGGAGGGCCACAATTAGTGTAACTTATACTGAATTTTTCTGGTTTTGTTGACATTGTACATGAACAGAAACTTTTACGTTTGTATCATCTTTTTAGGTTCCGTGGATTTATGCATTCTGATGAGTTGAGATATCGTTTCTCATCCTCTTCCCCGCCCCTTCAGATTGTCGTCAGATCACACAGTTCATAATAGCTGTATGAGCGGTGCTTTGGCGCTGTTTGTTGACTGTGTAACATTCTCATTTCTTGGTTCACATAATCTGTAATATTTTGTTGCTTATCATCTCCAATCTCAAATATTTAAAATTCGTTACTACTTGGCGTGAGCCGGATAGATCAGTCAGTATAGTGACTGACTGTGGATTGGGGTTCGATCCCCGATGGGGGCAGAGGATTTTCCCTTTAGCCTCTGCATCAAGACCGGCTCTGGGGCCCACCCAGCATCCTATACAATGGTACCAGGGCCAAGGCATGACGCTAACCACTCGCCCCTATCTAGAGCCAAGGTTAAGAATAAGTAGGTTTACTACTTTGGTGCTTATGTTTTCAGTTTACTCAACGGGGTTGCTTGTGAATGGGCACAGATGAACGTTTTTTTACAAGTTATCTTCATTATCTGCAGTTAACACTGCATTTGCCCAGCAGGTCGTATCAGTTTCTTTGTCGCCTATACGTTGTCATGTTTTCCTCCTGTGTATTCTTTGAATTTATTACAAGAATGCTCCTATAATTACAGGACTGATAATACGAAGCACAGTCTTCTGTCGTCTAGGTGGTTATGTACTATACTTGTGTGAGTACTTTGCATTGCACGTCATTCTGTGGTGCGTCAGTCAAAAATTTGATGCTCTTTAGTGAAATTGTATGTATTTTGTTTGTGACTATTTAAATGAGAACAATGTTTGCATAATGTTTTGTTAAAAACCTTGTAAAACTGTTTCTGAAACATGTGACATGAGCAGATGGTTTTCAAGATTCTGTAAGACAGACTTCCGTAGAAGTCGGATTTGCCTTCAAGATTGCGTTTCAGGTTTTTATTCTTCCTAAATTGTTTCAGGCTAAAGTTTATTGTAGAAAGTGATGTATGGCCATTAATTTTTTAAATGCATCTGCGTAAATAGTATTTTGTACTAGTCTTTTTACCTGTCTTTATATAAAGTTGCTACGATGAGCTTAAATCACTGTGCGTTTCAAGTACCACTATATCACCACCACTTTTACAGGGCGGGGCAGCATTCATTCATCATTTTTAAAGATGCACTTGTCAACCATAGGGTATTCAAAGTAATGTGAATTGAAATACAAGTGTTTGACTATTGTATCTTTAGAAATGGCAAATGAATGCTGCCCCATTCTAGACTTTTCTACCATTAGTACGACCACCATCATTGCTACTACTACTGCTGCTGCTGGTGCTGCCACCACCGGTGATCATGATAATTAAAAGTTGTGTTTGCTGACTTTCTGTTTCAGTTTGAAATGATAAATGTATTAATGCTCATTGTGAAGTATTTTATTTTCAGCTGTATACTTTGAGCAGAAGGAGTACAAGAAGTGTATTGAGCAGTGTGAAAAGGCAATTGAAGTTGGTAGAGAAAATAGAGCTGACTTTAAGTTGATTTCAAAAGCATTTACTAGAATTGGCAATGCACACATGAAACTAGGGGTAAGTGCGCTAGCATAATGTGGCTGCTTGTTTTATGGATAAAGGCTTAGTACTGATTAGTAATTTGAATGATTGGTACTGTTTTTGGAGTAACGGGAGTATACCTTTTCTCTTTTGGTACTATGTTTTTGGATTTTATTAAGAAGTAAGGCATGAGTACATAAGTGTTTTAATTTTTAGGATTTGTATAGTGCAAAGACAGCATATGAAAAGTCAATGTCAGAATTCCGCACTCCAGAAATCAAGGCGTTACTCTCTGATGTTCAGAAGAAAATAAAGGAAGAGGAGAGAAAGGCATATATTGATCCAGTGAAAGCCGAGGAGGAGAAGGAGAAAGGAAACGAGTTGTTCAAGAATGGTTTGTAACATTCATATTAACGCTTCCATTAACGTAGTAGCTTTATAATTAGTGAAATGATTTTTTAGGGGATGAAAATGAATAAAATGTTTTATGTCACTTTAAAGTAAAAGATATGCTCTGAAAAATATACTTTGAAAAAAACCCTGTTATTATTCAAATTCCTTTCCAACAGGAAGTGAACCACAAAAGTTATCTTTAAGTTGTACATGATAAATCTGTGTCACAGAAGAGCGATTTTCATGTTATGTCAGGTATTTTCAGGTCTTGGAATCAACTAGGTCTTTCCCCCTGTAAGGCACATGAAATCTCACACATTAATGAACACTTTATTCTTATTTAAACGTGAATAGAACTTTTGTTTTGCTGCATTTTCTTTCGAGTCATTAATTTTTTTCAGTTCATGTTGACTGTCATTAATTTCTTTGATTATTTCCAACATCAAATTTGTGGTCTTGACTTTGACAGAAAACTGAAATTTGTGTGAATGTAAGCCAAGTCAGTTCTTAGCATCTATGGTTTATTCGAGTCCTTAAATATGTCGTGCAATATCACAAAACAGGAGGAATTTTCCCCGTTCAGTTTGAAACATCATGTAATGGTTGATACGAACACCGATTATTCAGTAAAATGAATCAGAAGAGATTGTGTTACATCTGCTATTACATTTAATGCACTTATGACATAAACGAAGTCCGAACAGTTAACTTGTCAAAACGTAATGTTAGGTAATTTCCCCTTGCAGTTTGCTGCTTTATCCTCCTCCCTCTTTTAGGTCTTTATTTTCTTTTGCTGCTCTCATAGGTTGGAAAGAATGGAATTTGCCTTCGTCCAAAAATTGTATGTGTGTTGGAATGTGTACTGCGCAAAATGAAGGAATTGTTAGTTTGAATACAACCCGCAACAGATGAAGTTGATGTGTGCTCGCCATTCTCTTTCTTCAGGTGTGTCAGAAGTCAGTGCGCCTTGTGGTTTGTACTTGGGTACTGTGAAAATATCGCAAGTACTGAAGCTAAAATAAAAGCGAGGTACAATGACTTCAACATTTTAACGCACTGGTACTTAGAGGTATGTGTGTGTGTATATTTATTCTTACAGGTGACTATGCGACAGCTGTGAAGCATTATACAGAGGCCATTAAACGTAACCCTGATGATCCCAAGTACTACAGTAACAGAGCTGCCTGTTACACAAAACTTGCTGCCTTCGATCTTGGACTCAAGGACTGTGAGAAATGTGTTGAGCTTGACCCAAAATTCAGTAAGAAAATATTAATTATTATTATTATTATTCCTCTTGCAAATGTCATTAACACTTTCAACAAGAGAAAAAAGATATATTGCAAGATTTGAAGTTTTTATGGCGGTGAAGACCGCTGAAACTTCTAACAGACTACACGGCGCAACAACCCAGAAGACAGCCGTCTTAAGAGAGATTGCTTTGGGTGAGGGTAACTAGGGGGATATTTCAATTCAGAGTGGACACCATTTGCATTAACAGAAAAACTGCCCTTTTAAAAATATAGTACTACTTTTTATGATTAAGTTACTGCTAACATATTTCGTAAGCATCTTTTGTTATTGTTAACCCTGTACCAAATATATCAAACTGTGACTCGTAACCATTGACTGAATTTCCTCTTCCTCGGCTGCTTGCATAGTATTTCACAGACTTTGCTTAATCTGTAGCCGATTGACATCACCAAAACTTCTTTCATCATCTCACCTTGTGCCTCAAAAGAATCTTCTCATCACCTCTTTTCCTCGATCATATTCTTATTGCCATTTGGATAGCAGGTGACTGTCCTGCTCCACCAGTCAGATATATCTCATCCCGCTCCTCATCTACTGCCTCTCCTGTATAAGGCTTCCAAAAATGCCCAGCCTGTTTGCCAAAATATCAGATACTTTTTAACGTTCGACACAGCACATCCCTGAAAACCAACGTGTACATTGGTCTAGCTGTGAAAACCCTACGATAAATATAACATTCTTATTTTTTATTGTGTGGTTCACAATTTACTTTCTAAGTTCTAAATGGAAATTTTCTTTATTTATTAACAATAAACAAAAGGTTTTGAGACAGTTTTTATTGCCATTAATATTCTTAATTAAAAACTTTTAACATTCCCAAAAACTGTTAATCCCGTAAAACCCAGTTGTAACATTTCTGTACCGTCTGGACTTGGGCTGCGAGTTGGATGCTCCTTGTGTCCAATGTAGCCACCCACAATGCGTAAGTTTGCTTCAAGGCTGTGCTGTAATAGAGTGAATTACCATACTTCAAAGAATAATATGTATTTAATAAAAGTGATGTATTTTCACACTATATGCTAACAGTTGAATGTTTTACAAAAGCCTGTAGCATGGTAACTAGGCCTGTTACTGGAGAAGATGGATCATCATAATAATTATTAAACAAATAAAGAGCTGTTTTGTTGCAGTTAAAGGATGGATTAGAAAAGGTAAATTTCTTCAGGGCATGCAGCAACATGGCAAGGCTCTTTCTGCCTACCAGAAGGCCCTGGAACTGGAGATTGCTTTGGGTGAGGGTAACTAGGGGGATATTTCAATTCAGAGTGGACACCATTTGCATTAACAGAAAAACTGCCCTTTTAAAAATATAGTACTACTTTTTATGATTAAGTTACTGCTAACATATTTCGTAAGCATCTTTTGTTATTGTTAACCCTGTACCAAATATATCAAACTGTGACTCGTAACCATTGACTGAATTTCCTCTTCCTCGGCTGCTTGCATAGTATTTCACAGACTTTGCTTAATCTGTAGCCGATTGACATCACCAAAACTTCTTTCATCATCTCACCTTGTGCCTCAAAAGAATCTTCTCATCACCTCTTTTCCTCGATCATATTCTTATTGCCATTTGGATAGCAGGTGACTGTCCTGCTCCACCAGTCAGATATATCTCATCCCGCTCCTCATCTACTGCCTCTCCTGTATAAGGCTTCCAAAAATGCCCAGCCTGTTTGCCAAAATATCAGATACTTTTTAACGTTCGACACAGCACATCCCTGAAAACCAACGTGTACATTGGTCTAGCTGTGAAAACCCTACGATAAATATATACAGCTCGCCACTTGCTGCCTGCCTTGTGTAAGGCTTCCAAAAATGCCCAACCACTAGAAGTTTATTTCAACCCTTATTTAAAAAGCAGACAAAAGTGCGCCATCAACTTACGGCTTTCCGCCATAATTGCAGCGTGAATTATCACAAGGCACTGTTTCAACAACTGGAAGTCTATGCAGTACGAAAGTAGGCTTTGTGAGTCATATCTTAACTTCTTGCATGATTTGTTAGTTTTGGTAGGCTTCAACTTACGTGTTATTTGAGTAAATGTGGCTGTTAAGAAATCTTATCTTTGTAATTATAGGCACTGAAAGAGAAGGACCTAGGAAACCAAGTATATAAAAAGAAAAACTTTGAAGAAGCCTTAAAGCATTATAATAGGGCAGTAGAACTGGATGCTGGTGATATAACATATTTAAATAACATAGCAGGTAAGTGCAATTGTGTTCTTGAGAGTCGAGCTTCTGGCGCCTAATAGGGGAGGAGGGCCACAATTAGTGTAACTTATACTGAATTTTTCTGGTTTTGTTGACATTGTACATGAACAGAAACTTTTACGTTTGTATCATCTTTTTAGGTTCCGTGGATTTATGCATTCTGATGAGTTGAGATATCGTTTCTCATCCTCTTCCCCGCCCCTTCAGATTGTCGTCAGATCACACAGCTGTATGAGCGGTGCTTTGAAGTTATTTGTTGACTGTGTAACATTCTCATTTCTTGGTTCACATAATCTGTAATATTTTGTTGCTTATCATCTCCAATCTCAAATATTTAAAATTCGTTACTACTTGGCGTGAGCCGGATAGATCAGTCAGTATAGTGACTGACTGTGGATTGGGGTTCGATCCCCGATGGGGGCAGAGGATTTTCCCTTTAGCCTCTGCATCAAGACCGGCTCTGGGGCCCACCCAGCATCCTATACAATGGTACCAGGGCCAAGGCATGACGCTAACCACTCGCCCCTATCTAGAGCCAAGGTTAAGAATAAGTAGGTTCTGTACCTCACCCCCCCCCCC